GTACGATGGAGGAATGGAGAAAGGATTACACCATGACCATATTCCACCATGGGGGTGCCATACACCCACCCCTCAGTAAGTGCAAACACTACCTGGAATTTAAAAAAAGGAAGTGGGTAAATGTATTTGTCTTTGACAGTAATCTCTTGTGAACAACTAAGAATAAAGTGAAACAAAAGATAAAGGGTGGAAATGACGGAAAACAGTGTCAGGCTTCTTTTGAAGAAATGATCAAGTTGTGGCAATCAATGCAGCATGCCAGGGAGAGGGAAGTGAGCCCAGCTGGATGCCTGTGTTTGCTTCTCCAGTTTCAGTTTCTTCATATACCTTCACCTCCTCTAACTCTTATTAGCTATGTGCTTCTCACATATTCTGTTCCTTTTTGCAATTTCAAAATATCTTTCAAAGAGTAAAATTTAAGAAGAAAATTTTACTTCCATTTGTAATTACACACAACATCTTATATGTATCTTCTAGCTCATCAATAAGCATTAATATTATTTATATATACTGACAATAGGTAGCTCCTTGAAATTCTGGGACTCTTTGCTACTAATGAAATGATTAAGAATTAAATGATCAGAGGTGAACAGTCACCAGGTAAAACTTCAGATGATTTTTGTCAGTCTAATCCTCAAATGTTGATTTGAGCCAGAGTTCTATTTTCAGACCTCTTCTTTCTCTTTTAGCATGGTCTTCCTAGACATGGCTCTCAACTTCTTCATTTAATTATCAGCTCTAAATATATAATGGCTTAGAGTTTACCTTGAGACTGTCATTCTTCTGAACTCTCAAACTCCTATTTACAACAGTTCTATGAGCATTTTTAGTAGGATATCCTGATGGCTTTTGAAACTTAGCATATTTATAGTCAAACTCATATTTTTGCTTCCCCTGTCACCAAATAAAAGAAAGCACCCCACTTTCCTTGTGTTCCTACTTTGGTTAAATGCATTATCTATCTAGTCAACCAGAAATGTGGAATCATCCTAACTTCTACTTTCCCCTATTCCCCAAATCTTGTCAATTCTACCTCTATGTATCTCTTAAAATAAAATTTCATATCCCTGAGGATAGAGAAAATATTCCACAAGTTTCCTGAAGGCAAAACAAAACAAGACTAGTCACATAGAAAAAGGATCAGGAACTAGGATGACTCTAGCCATGCTCAATAGAAATAAGAGAGCAAGAAGATAATGGGGCATAACCTTCAACTACATAAATCTGGAAACAAATCTGGAATCAAGTGCCAGAAGAATACAGTTTCTTCTGCAAAGAGGGCCTCAAGAGATGGCTGTTTTCCATTGTACCACTGGTATTATTATTTGACTTTTAAAATTATGTACATGTAAAACTTAGATAAAGTTAAAAAAACAGGTACTCTAGGTGAATATTCTCTTTTATAAAGTCTTCCAGTAATTATATATTTGCTTATACAATTAAGCAAAGGATAACAGAGCTGCAAAGTGCTCTAGAGACTTAATCCCATTTTTAATTTTCATAACATAATAATTATAATGAAAAGTACATTCTGACTTCTTTACTAAAGTCATTTCTCCCTGCTGTAAAGTTTTGTTATTCCATATCAATGTTTCCAACAGATATTCTAAACAAACAACCACACTCTAACACTAATGAGAAATGGTTATGTTTATTGGCCTATGTACTCTCTTCTTCCCAATGTCCCACCCAAGGGAGTTAAACCATTTAAGATTGTGGTCCCATTCCACCTAATACACTTGGGTTGTAAGCTAACAGATGGATAAAACATGCCAGGTCCTGTCCTAATGATTCTAAGATTACATAAAACATTTTTCTGAAGTGAAGAATATGGTCTAATTAGCCATCTGCTGAACTTAATATGACCAAAAACAACAAACTAATTTTAGTGATATAATTGTATGTTAAAGATATCTAAATTCATGAAAATTTATAACTGTAAAACATGCTTAGGTTAGATATTGGGAACTTAGTTTTAGATGGATATATGGTTTATTTGTAAGGAACTAGAAACCCCATAGGTTTGTATTTGTATACAATGTTTTTGTAGGAATTTGAATTTTAGGTATACAGAGTAGCAATGTCCCTGTAATATTGTATCTTTTCTTGATCTTCAATTTCTCTTAAAAAGTAAGTCAACTATTTTTACTCCCTGGTCTCCATGGTGGTATAACTTATTACTGGCAATACAAGATAAAAATTTTGGGGAGGAGTTAACATACCAACATCTTCAAAGGTTAAAGTTGGTCTGTAAAAGCACATTTTTTAGTTCTTTTCAAAGTCAGGGTGATAAGAAAGCATCTAGGAAGAGAGTTGAATTATCAATATTTTAAATAGGGGACTAGATGGTTCTGTCTCCTGGTTCAAATCTTAGGTCTCTTTTGTCAGTACTTAGATCACATAATAAGCCTTTACACTCAGTTTCTGTTATGTTTCTATACTTTGTTTAGGTAATTTATTCAAAATGTGCTTTATCATTAACAGATATACTTTTTAAGGAAGGTGTTAATTATGCTCTGTGTTAAATGATTTTGCAATGAATGAATTCTTAGAAAAGTTCTTTAAAAAATGCTGATGCCATTATAAATCTGAGGTGTGTCCTGGTGTGTTCAGGGAAGCTATGCTCTAAATTCCATCTTCTAGACTCCTGAAATACTCAGACAAGTAGAGCAGAGATTTTGTCACAGAATGACAAGAAACCACTGCAGAGGCACAAGAAATATGAGAAACCAAGGAAACATCTCTCCTGTAAGGGAAATGTATAACTGTAAAACATGCTTAGGTTACATATTGGGAACTTAGATTTAGATGGATAAATGGTTTATTTGTAAGGAACTAGAAACCCCATAGTTTTGTATTTGTATTTGTTTGTCTTTTCTATTGGAAAGAACAATCCTTCATCATCCACAGACAGGACAGTAGAACTCGAGGAAACGTCTGCTAGAGAATTCAGAATATTCATAGTGACAAAACTAAATGAGATCCAAGAGGTGAGAGACAATGAACTCCAGAAGATGCAGGAGAAAAGAGACAATAAGTTTCAAGAGGTGAGCAAATTCTTACACGATTTGAAAGAGGAAATACACACCATAAAAAAAGAATCAAATGGAGCTATTAGAGATGAAGGCTACAATTCAGAAAATCGAAAGCAGATTAGTTCATGCAGAAGATCGAATCTCGGATGTTGAAGGGAAAACCTCTGATCTATAAAAAACAACCAGGGGAAAAAAAAAACCCTGAGAAAATAACCCATAAAAATGAGAATACTATACAAGAAATACTAGACACCATCAAGCACCCAAACATCCAGATAATTGGTATCACAAAGGTGAAGAAATAAATAAGGGCATTGATAATCTATTTCATGAAATCCTAGAAGGAAACTTTCCAAATCTAGAGGCATTGAAATATCCAGAACCAAGAAATACCAAGGACCCTAATAGAATCAACCCAAGATCTTCTCCAAGGCACAACACAGCCAGATTGGCAAAATCCACAAAGACAAGATACTAAAATTGGCAAGAGAGGAACGTCAGGTTACTTACAAAGGGTTCCCATCAGGCTAACATCAGACCTCTCATCAGATACAATGCGAGCAAGGAAAGAATGGGAAAATATATTCAAAGTGGTAAGTGAAAAACAGTTTCAACCAAAAATACTATACCTGTCAAGATTATCCTTCATATGGAAAGAAAGGATAAAATCATTCTCAGAATAACAAGACCTGAAAGAATTTGCCAATACCAGACTTACTCTTCAAGAAGTTCTCAAAGGAGTACTCTATTGGGAAAACTAAAGGTACACGTACAGAAATAAGAGAACAAAAAGCAACCAAGAAAATGACCAACATAACGCTAGGGACAAGAACTATCGATAATAATGTTGAATGCTAACTTCCAGGATTTAAACAGAAAGATCAGACCACATTAATACTGCAAATTCAACAAAACAGAGATTGAACATAAGACTGAACTGGTGAAATAGAATTTTATGACTTTTGAGTAAAACATTACTAATTTTTTTTATTACTATGTTTTTCCCAATTTAAGGATTTTGCTTTCTTTTGAGCTGTTGATAGGTTCAGCAATTTGTTAAAATATTTTTTCTTCTTGTTTCTTTAAATGAAGACATAAACTTGTCTTCCTTCCTGACCCCTCTGGAATTGGAAAGTATTTGGGAAAGTATTTCTTATTTTGTGGCAGAAGGGTTATTTGCATAAGTTCAATAATACCTGTTGCACTGAATCAGAAATTGGAAATACTCATTGGACATGGCTTTGACTGGAATGTCATATCTGAAGATTAATTTAAAAAAAAAACAACTAAGGAATATGGAACTAAGGTAAATCTCAAGTAAGCCAAAAAAGCTCTTGGAAAGATGGCCTGGCACCATAAACAGTTCTGCCTGACAGAGAGGATTAGAGAAGCTACATGACAGAATTTGTACCATAAAATATCTGGACTTTTCCAGCCCAGCACTGTAATCAGTAGAGGTTGCAAAAGAGCAATCACAACCAGAAGATTATCTTGACGATGACTTTGAAGGAAGAAAAAAGAGATTGATCTTTGCTAGCATATAGTATATCACAGAATACTTGGTAGGCATGGCTGAATTGAGAAGGTTTATGTGTGAATTGTGTGCTGGACAATTGCTTTTCAACAGTTTGAGCAGTTGACATGAAAATATTTTCTCAAAATATTTAAAACCATACCATCTCTGTTGTTATAGAGTCACAAACAAAATTATAACAAATATTTTGAACATTATCTTTAAAATTCAGGTTTTTTGAAATTTTGAAAGTTGTTTATTAGCTGTCAAGAACTATGGAGTATGAGCAAAAATTTTTTGATATGTAAAGTAAATGTTTGTGAGAAAATGTAAACATAAATAAATAAATAAATAAATAAATAATAAATGCTGACAAATGAAAGAACTAATAAGTCAGGGTCATGGACTATGCCTCAATCATTTCTTTCTATTCACTTTCCCCCCTTTTTCCTTTATGTAGGAGACTTCTACTCAATTATATCATAAGCCTGGCCCTCCTAAGATTTCTTCTTTTAACATAGCATGTTATAGATGTATTCATCCTCTTAACTGAATAAAAAACAGACATTCCCACATGCAGCTCAATCACTTTTTAAATCATATTTATTTTTACCAATGCCTGCATGCATGTAATGACCGAATGGCATGCATACCTATTTATAAGAACAAACGTTTATAAGTACTAATAGTTATCCTGGAAGAGTCCTTAGATGTCAGTCTCCTTGGCTATCAAAAGGTTTTCTACTACCTATGACGTCTCTTTCTTTCTTTCTATCTTTCTTTCCTTCTTTCTTTCTTTCTTTTTCTTTCTTCCTTTCTTCCTTCCTTTTTTATTTTCAGAGAGATTTTTACTATAGGGCGTGCGTGCTCGCCAGAGATAAAAGGCAAGAAATCACCCCACTCCAGGGAGGATGGCCATGCCACAATCCCTTCTCCTCCATTCTCCTCTTGGGATTCTGGGCATGCATGGACATGTGCCTGGCATGAGTTTTAAGTTGCTGGGTCCAGGACTCAAACCACGGTCAACTACATAGGGGTCTTGTGACAACCATTACACCATTTGCTAGTCCCTACAAGCTCTATTTCTAATATGAGAGCTTGTGAACTCTCTAAATTCTTCAAAGCTTAAGTTCTCATTTTTCATGGCAGTGCCCTTTCCCAATTACTTCACACACTGGGAAATCAGAGTTATTGTTAAATGGATTATTAAAATCATAGATCAAGTTCTTACACCTGGCTAAGTTAGTCCTGAGTATAAATTAGGTGCTTTGGGATATGCACACTCTTTTTTTGTATCACTAAGGTGATATTACTGCACTGAAGCACAGGTGATAGTTCGCTATGGTCAAAATCTCAGCTGGTGGTTAAAAACCGATGGAGTGTTTGCCACTACGATATGTGTTCTTAGTAACTGCCTTCAGAAATTACTATTGTAATTTGGAGCTAACCAGTGTAAGTAAATATTTGTATGTACATGTTATTTCCACTAGTATACTTGGGAGAAAATAATCTCACTTGGACCTAAGAAACACCAAGGGTAAGAAAATTCATATGGAAAACACCCTCTTTACCTCTGCTTTTTACTCAATTTTCAAATACAAAGGATCCTTCTGAAATCTTCTTAGGCATTATAAATTTAATACCTTCAGTTTGTAGAAATCAATGAATATGGTTGAGTGGTACCGTGTTCAAACAACTGTGCTACTGATGTCTACTAAATATTGAACTATTAATATTGCACTATTGATGTAATATCTTAGTTTTCGGAGTAATGAGTTTGGCTGGTATAAAGAGAACTTAGTCAAGGAAATACCTTCTTTGGAAATGGAAGTTTGATCTCAAGGTCATTAAGAATGTAGCTAAAAAAGTAACTCATGGGTGAATAAAATGTGTTCATAAAATAGTACATGTCTTGTGGGAATCCAACAGGACAGACTCAAACAGGTAAAATCTGCTTTTAGCTCAACACCAACCAAGTAGCTCTGCAGTCTGTACTTCAAACACAGAAGCTGGTATCTCTTGCTATCAGATTATAAACACAATGCCAGTATTATCAAAGCACTCATTTTCTCTAAATATCTGATTTATCTTTTAAAAAAAAGCTCATATAATATTGAATCTAGATTTATGTCAAACTTACGAAGCCAGAGCTCAAAATATCTCAGATTTGGAATTTTTCAAAGGCAAAGGAAGAAGCAGCAAAACTGACTAGTGTGGGAAGCCGCCCATATCAAAATGGCTGCCATGACCTTCACATAACAAAAATGGCCGGTGCGACCTTGACACGTACACCAGGAACACAGAACTTCCCGGTTCAGACAAACTGACAGGTCCTCAATTAGGTCCGCTGTAAACCCCGCCTACTTTCTCCTGCCTTGTGTATATAAGAAAGTGCTCTGGCCCTCAATAAACGAGCGAAACCTTCATACCATCAAGAGCTGTGACACTGTGTGAGCTGTGACACTTCTTTCGCTCCCATGCTGAGACGATGCGCCGGTTCCAGACCTCCGCCCCCTCGCTCGGGTTCTCTGCCCAATACGTCCCGCAGGCCAGGACAGACTAGGGTTAAGAGAGGTGCAGCTTGGCACATAACCTATTCTTGTCTTTTATTTTTGCACGCCCACTTGCTTACAGCATAAAAAAAGAGATCCTTGGAAGATATGGGAGAAAAAAAAGAAGGCAAGATTTTGAAACTTTTTTTTACTAATTAAAATTATTTTTGGACAGAGGTCCTTGTAGTCTTCAAAAGGATTAGCAGCAACATTTTATGCTGGGAAGAAAAGAACACTGGTTTCCTTCTGAGATGTCTGTTGTCGAGCGTAGGTGACTATTGAACTCACTTTTATACAAATGTTAAAAATGTCTTGATCATGCTCCAAATCCTTTGGAATTACAGTACCAATTGAAACAAGATTCTTGAATTGGGAGCTATGCTACACCAAGTACATAATATACCACTTTCTCTAACAGGGAATTTATAGACTTTATTTCTTTTCTTTAACTTTAAATTAGAAGATTAGAGTGACTAAAGAATTTTATATCACATGAAATATCTTCGTGTGAATTTTTGTTTTGTTTTGTTTACAGACTTGGCTTTTGTCTCTGGGCTTTCTTTCTATCTCATATTCAAATACACCCTGATGAAGTAAGCTATATTCAGATAATGAAAATAAAATATTCAATAATAGTAAGTTATAGGAAACATCTATTATATCAAAAACTATTTAAAGAAAATCTAAACTGACTTCCTTGAATCATTACTGAATATTCTTCAGTTTACTTCCAATGTAAAGTAGTAGAAGGACTATGCATTGATCATTACCTTAACTCTGAGTGGCTGAGAGGCTAGTCCTAGTGTCTGCCCAACATCAACAGATAAGAGAGAGTACTTAAAAAATGTGTGGGAAAATGAAATTAAAGTACAGGTAATTTTGGTGCAAAGAATTTTGAAATCTGGTGCATATTTTTTGTTCATAATAAGTATTTTCCTTTTTCTTTTTTTTGGAGAGGATTTTGCTATAGGGTGTGTGTGCGTGCCAGAAAGACAGAAAGGGACAGAGAGACAGAAAGCAAGAAATCACCCCCCATGGGGGATGGCCACGCCACAATCCCTTCTCCTCCATTCTCCTCTCAGGATCTTGGGCACGCACGCACATGTGCCCAGCGTGAGTTTAAACCACTGAGTCTGGGACTCGAACTGCAGTCAACCTCATGGGAGTCCAGCAACATAGCCATTACACCAACTGCTAGTCCCCATAATAAATATTTTTCTTTTTTTTGTTTTGAGAGGTTTTTTCGCTATAGGGCGCGTGCACTCACCAGACAGACAGAGAGAGACATAGAGACAGAAAGTGAGAAATCCCCCCCCAGGGGGGATAGTCATGCCGCAATCCCTTCTCCTCCATTCTCCTCTCAGGATCTTGGGCACGCACGCACATGTGCCCAGCGTGAGTTTAAACCACTGAGTCTGGGACTCGAACTGCAGTCAACCTCATGGGAGTCCAGCAACATAGCCATTACACCAACTGCTAGTCCCCATAATAAATATTTTTCTATCAACTTTTTGAAGACCATGCCCTACTACCTGTTACATGCCAGAAGTCAAGCAAAGACTTACACTCAAGACCTTGCTAGGATGATATTAGATTTGTGGTATTTACTTTTCTGTGCTATGTAGCTGTAGGCACTAGTAATTTGTTCTTTGACTAAGAAGAATGGAACACTATCAAAATTTTATTTTCTTTTATATTTTTTAGTGTGGGAGACAGAACTGCCTTCAGGGAAATAGTGCTAGATGTCTTCTTATAGTCTTACACTGCAATGTACTTTTGAAGAAGGAATGCAAATTCTCAGTTGATTTCATAGATTGCTGCTTACTTTATGTCTACCCATCACTTTTAAGGAACACTCTCATTCTATCTAGCAGGTAGAAAAAAGTAGAGCCTGAGATTTGTAACTGAAACTGCAATTGCTTTCCTGAAGAAGAAATATATGATAACAGAAAATGTGACTCATTTTACAAAAATGCATTTGCAAGCAACTTTTTAAGAACATAACTCTTTTGCTAAGGGAGGAACATCTGTATTTACAACACAGATCTGAAACACCTACATGTTTTTTGTATAACAAAGCATGTTTTTCTTGGCCGAAACAATGTTTTATCTTCATATTTCAACAAGAACTTATAAAAAGGTCATTCATGGTATTTTAGCTAGAAGGACATTTAGGCATTCATTTTGTTTTAGGGAAAACAGTCAAGTATAACAGCATAAAATATCACATTAGCCTTTCCACTTTTTAACATGTACATAAAATTACCGTCTGAAGCCTTCCTTAATTCAATTCTCAGTTTTTCCTGGTCTTCTATTAGTTTTTTATTTTCTGCTTCCCAAATGTGTTCATCTTCTTTCCCATAGTTTTTCAAGATCTATGACAAAAGAGTTATACAAAGAAATAAGCTTAGACTACAATAGCCAAACATTTTTCACAGGAAATAGTCTGAGTAATCTATTTAAAATGACTGACGACCTTGAGGCCAGGTATAGTGTTTAAGGCAATGCACTCCCATATGGTTGACCACAGTTCGAGTCCCAGACCCAGCAGCTTGAAACTCACACTGGGCTTGTGTGCGTGGGTGTCCAAAATTCCAGGAGGTGAATGTAGGAGAAGGGACGTGGCCACTCCCCCTGGGGGTTGGCTTCTTATTTTCACTCTCTATTTCTCTCTGTGACTCTGGTGAGCACACATACCCTACCATAAAAATCTCTTTAAATATCTCTCTCTCGATACAGATACAGATCTTTATTTTATTCTTTGTTCTTTCCAGTATTTTGTAATTTTTTACAATGTGCGTTTGTTCATGTTAAGTCTGTATTTGGCAAATACACACAAAAAAGATTTCTAATGACTGAAATCTTTGAAATAAGTTAATAGGTGGGTTGTTATTAAAGTTATGTTTTCAGAGTATTAAGAAAAAAACAGAAACCTCTCTTCAATTAAGTGTGTAAAGTGTGTGTGTGTATGTGTGTGTGTGTGTAATTGGAGTGGATTTTGTTACTTGTAACCGTATATATATATATATATATATATATATATATATATATATTCTGAGAACGATAATCAATTGCAGAATCACTATGTTCCGATTGCAGAGCTGTCTACCCTAACTATTTTTATATAGACAAATTTATGAGAGAAGAATATAATGTTGTCAAGGTAGATGGAGATGGGTAAGTACAACGTGACAGGGTCATCTCTGTGGTTAGAAATTTTTTTCTTTTTTTAAGAGAGAGACTTTTGCTATAGGCCATATGTGCTCACTGGAAAAAGACAGAAAGAGAGAGAGAAAGCAAGAAATCACTCCCACAGAGATGGCTATGGTGCAATCCCTTCTCCACTCTCCTCTCATGCTTTTGGGCACACATGCACACAACGTGAGTTTTAAGCTGCCAGATCCGGGACTTGAACAACAGTTGACTACATGAGAGTCCAGTAATGTAACCACTATGCCATCTGCTGGTCCCTCTATCTCATTTTTATAGAAGAGTCTCCAAATTACTTTTACTCAGTTAATAATTTACAAAGCTCTTTTTATATATATGGTCCGGGTCATGTGCAATCTACTGCCTTAACTTCGATGCTGGCCCCCAGTGCTGTTTATATTTTAATATCTAATCTGGCTTTAAAATGCTTAAGGCCAGCCAATGGTACAGTGCTTAAGGTGACTGAATCTCACATGGCCCACTGTGTGGTTCAAGTCCTGAACCTGGTAGCTTGAAAAACACACTGAGTGCATGTGCATGTATGCCCAAAATCTCAAGAGAATTGAGGAGAAGGGTGTGTGTATTCCCAGAAGGGCGCTTTCTCTCTCTCTGGCAAGCACATGCAAAATTTAAAAAATTTTATGCTTATAGCCTTTCTGTTTTAGGGAAGAAAAACTAAGATCTAAATATTACAACAATTGATCAAAATAAAAATTATATGGAGTAAAAATTTCATAATCTATATATCTGGATAGAAATTGTTACTGTTTTTAGAAGTAAAAAGTTGATTTAAAGAAATATTAGGGAATTTAAGTTATCACAACAGACAAATTAAGGTGATGTTTGAGAAAAATACACACTATTGTGGGTCTGTTGGTCAGATAAAGTGGTGACAACTTGATATTGACCCCTTCCATAGGTAAAAAAGCAACTCAGGAGGATTTTAAACAGACTAACATAAAAGAGGAACTTCTACTACAGGGTGATTTCTTTCCTAATGTGAGCTTGTATGTCCAACAATCAAAACTCATGAAGATCTACTGAGCAATGACTACCTGCAAATATTTTAAAATGAAAGGTTCTATAAGGGATAAGAATGTAAGAGAAACATGGCTTCTACACTCAGGTAACTTCATTCGATTAGAAAGAATGAGACAAGAGCATAAAAACTGTACTGCGAGACTGGGTAACAATATTATTGTTTCCATAACAGAGATTAGACAGCTCAGAAGGAGGAATTAAAGCTTATTGAATATATTATATAATCTCAAGAAATATTTTTTGGAGATAGGAAGACTGAAGTGTACATCTTGAAAATGAAGGAATCTCATACCTTCTAAAATTAAAAAAAAAAGTTTTTGTTTTTTAAATAGGACAAGAAAAACATTTCTCCAAATCTCCCTTAATTTGTTTTCTACTTCAAATTCAAAACAATCCCAGCTGTGACTTCAGTGAATTTAGTTCATACAATCTCCAGTGATTACCCAAATTGAAAGAGAACCACTGAGTTGCAGGAATGTTTACACTGACTGCTTGAATTATTATACCACTGACTTGGAAAAGTTGGATTTGTGTTAGTCTTGTAAATAAGCTTTCATTACTGCATCTTTAAACTTGTCCAAATTTATTATGTGTAACTTGATGCTGGAAAAAGATCAAGAGCCCTGGAATCTGAAATTTAATAGTTATCAGTCACAATAACTCAAGTGTTTACTGTCTCATCTACTTTATCCCACTTCGATAACGTGGGGGGAAAAAACTCAGTGAGAAGTAAAACTCCATCACAGTTATAATTTCAAAGAGTTAAATTAAAAGCTAATTGGTCCTGGGCCAGCAGGTGGCGTGGTGGTTAATTTGCTGGACGCTCCCACATGGCTAACCGCGGTTCGAGGCCTGGAACTGGTGGCTTGCTTTCTCACTTTCTCTTTGTGTATGTCTTTCTCTGGCCGAATTAAAATAAATGAATGAATAAATAAAATTAAATAAATAATTTTTTTTAAAAAGTTAATTGTCGGGACAAGCAGTTAGCGTAATGACTATGTCACTGGACTTTCACGTAGTCGATTGTGGTTCGCGTCCCGGACCCAGTGGCTTAAACTCACGCTGGGCACGTGTGCGTGCGTGCCCAAGATCCTGAGAAGAGAATGGAGGAGAAGGGATTGTAGTGTGGCCATCCCCCCTGGGGGGTGATTTCTCGCTTTCTGTCTCTGCCTCTGTCTCTGTCTCTGCCTGGTGAGCGCATGCACCCTATAGCAAAAACCTCTCAAAAAAAAAAAAAAAAAACCTGTCAAAAAAAAAAAAAAAAAGAAAAGAAAAGAAAAGAAAAGCTAATTGGCTTTCTTAATTATTTCATTTCTTAGGCTCTGTATAAGAATAGAAATGGGTCTTAGCTGTCAACTACACCATAGGAGTTGAGGACACCAAACAATGAATAATGTGTATTTTGGGGCCGGTAAGTGGAATAGCGGTTAAGGGGCAGGCCTCCCACATGGCAGACTGTGGTTTCAGTCCTGGACCGAGCAACTTGAAAATCATGCCAGCTGTGTGTGCATGCAGACTCCATATCCAGGAAAATAGAAAAGAAGGGATTACGGCATGGTCATCACCCTGGGAGAAGCTTTCTGATTTTCCTGCTTGCTCACTTTCCTTCTTTCTCTCTGGGGAGTGCACATACCCTATAGAAAAAAAAAAGTGTGAATTCTTTTTATTTTATTTTTATTTTTTTGAGAGAAAGGTTTTTTGCTATAGGGCACATGAGCTCACCGAGAGACAGAAAGAGATAGAGACAGAAAGTGAGAAATCACCCCCAGGGAGATGGTCACACCATAATCCCTTTTCCTCCACCCTCTTCTCAGGATCCTGGGCATGCACACAGCCATGCCTGGGGTGAGGTTTAAGCCGCCAGGTCCAGGACTTAAACTGTGGTTGATGACATGGGAGTCCAGTGATGTAACCATTATGCCATCTGCTGGTCCCAAGAGTGTGAATTCTACAATCAGGCTGCTTACGTTTAAATTTTAGTTCTGTCATTTATTTACTTATTTTATTTTTAAGAATTATTTATAAAATTTAATTTATTATTATTATTTTAAAAGTTGCCATAGGGCATGCACACTCACTAGAGAGACAGAGTACAGAGAGAGGGGGAAAGTGAGAAAGCAAGCCTCCAGGTCCAGGACTTAAACTGTGGTTGGCAATGTCCAGCACCTAACCACCACGCGACCCGCTGGCCCCAGTTCTGTCATTTATTAATGAGTGATGTGTGCAAATCAGGTAACCTGTATATGCCTCTGTTTTCTCATCTACAAAAAAGATAACAAAAACAATACCAATGTATGGGGTTGTGAGAATTAAAAGAGCTATTATTTATAGCTAAGGAATCTTACGGCCCAGACCAACTAAAGTGACTTGCTCCAGGTCACATACCTAGTCACTGGAAGAACTGGAACTAGCACCTAGTCCTCTGGGATCTCAGGGTGATATGATTTCTACCCTATAATATGTCTCTGATAGAGAATGAAGAGGAATCTTGGCAATTTTATCCAGCTTTAGCTAATATTTCAAAACCTACATAAAATACCTCGAAGTAGAAGTCATATCTGACATTCTCACCCCTGGCCTTTACAGGTCATTTTATTGGTCAATTAGTTATACTTTGGGCACTGACTGTGTTTATGTGCACCTCACAGACTCTTCCCACTGAGTACTGGCTTTAGCCCAGCACAATTGTGCCTCCTCTGATGACAGAGGAACACTGACTGGCTCACAGCCATATAGGAAGCAGGCTGCATGGAACCAAAGAAGAGGGAACAGCAAGAAAAAAACTGTGGGGGGAGGTCAAGGAATCAGTAATTATGAAATAAATTTCCTTGGAAGGATAACTGGCTCTGAAAACAATGAAAACAAAAAGGTCCTCCAAAATGGGGAGGGTACTTATTTTAAAGGACAAAATGAATTCAAGTGCATTAATTATGGTGTACATGAGAAAAATAATAGCATGGAAACTTTACACTTTCCAATTTCTTAGAGCTGAAGAATATTACTAAAGAGAAAAATAAAATGTCCTGGGGCTGGTCCTGTAGCTAGTGGTTATGGGAGCCATATCCCACATGGTCAACCAGTTCTCTCTCTCTCTTTTTTTTTTTTTTTTTTTTTTTGCTATAGGGCACATGTGTTCGCCAGAGAGACAGAGAGATGGAAAGCGAGAAATCACCCCCCAGGTGGATGGCCATTCTGCAATCCCTTCTCCTCCATTCTCCTCTCGGGATCTTGGGCACGCACGCACACATACCTGGCTTGAGTTTAAGCCACTGGGTCCAGTACTCAAACCGCAGTCGGCTACATGGGAGTTCCGCGTCAGAGCCATTACGCTAACTGCTGGACCCAGGTCAACCAGTTCTAATCCCAGTCTCAGCGGCCTGGAAAACATGTTGGTTAAGTGTGCATGCATGCCCCAAATCTCAACAGGATGGAGAAATAGAAAAGGGACTGTCGTATGACCATTCTGCCTAGGGGGTGCCTCTCTCCCTCTCCTTTGCTCTGTGTGTCTCTCTGGCAAGTGTATACACTCTCTGCAATTACAAAAAAAGGGTCCTAATAGTAGTTATGACTCATTACTCTATGATGATGTGCATAATTTGAAATCAAGACAGGTACAGAAGTTTTTCTACAATATGAGGCTGCGTGCTTTTGAGTTTAGTTATCACAAGTTAATCGAAGGTTTGATTGTATTTGTTTGTTTGTCTGTTTGTTTGTTGGGAGGTTTTTGTTATAGGGCGGGTACGCTGCCAGAAAGACAGAGAGAGACAGAGAGAGAGAAAGCAAGAAATCACCCCCCAGGGGGGGATGGCCATGCCGCAATCCCTTCTCCTTTATTGTCCTCTCAGGATCTTGCACATGTACGCACACGCACTCGGCGTGAGTTTAAGCCACTGGGTCTGGGATTCAATTCACGGTTGACTACACGGGAGTCCAAAAACGAAGCCATTAAGCCATCTGCTGACTCCAATTACGTTTTTGTTTTTACCACTGTGAAATTACATTAGAATATAAAAAAAGAAGCAAATAACATTAAGGTACAAAATAAGTTGGTTGTACTGCTGAAACATTCCAAAAAAACAAAAATGACTTATTGTTTGTTTTTAATACAGAAATACCAACAACTTGATTTCTAAGACCTATACTTACTATAATGGGAACTTTACAAGACATTGATGCATAAATGCCTTTTCAAAACAGAACAAAACAAAAAGTAAATTGGTGCTTATCAAATTTTCATTAAAAAATGCTAGTAACAATCTACTGGGTTGTCAGAAAAGTCATGATGCATTTTTGCATAGAAAATCAGAAAAATACATCATGACTTTCCTGACGACCTGATACTTTAAAAAAATTAACACTTTTGAATTCTGTTTCTGTGAAAAGAAGTGCTAATTTACTGTTGTAGCAGAAATAAAGCAAACTTTATAAAAAAACCACGGGATCTGGATAGGTGGCCATGATACTACAGCATCATTTGCAATTTACTTTTTGCAATTAGTTTTGACTTATTTCATACGTTTTAATAAGCTTTATATTGTACCAAAATAGCTAACCACTTAGAACTGATGGAAAGTGTTTGTATTTCTTTCTGTAAGAGGCTGGGCTTAAAGACTTAGACAAGGAATTTAATTCTCTATTGCTAGACTCACAGTGTTTTTCACATAAAAATGATTATTTGCATTTCTTTAACTTAGTAAAAATATTTTGTTTTATTTCTGAATAGAATGACGCCATTAATTCTCTTTTTCTTAGAATTGGTAAAGTTATGGATCTTAATATGAACTGAAAACATTCAAGTTATGAGATCTGACTCCTAAAATGAAAACTTAAGAAAATAATACCTAAAGTAATTCTGTTTCTTTAATTTTTCCATTTGCTTTTTATAGTCAATGGGGAAAACAGTACCTGATCCACAGTCTTCCCTAAAGCCAGGGGAAAGATAGTATAGGGTTCTCAAAGAAGGAATGTAAGGGGCCAGCAGGTGGCATGGTGGCTAAGGCGCTGGACTCCCACAGGGCCAACAGTGGTTCATGTCCCAGACCTGACAGCCTGCTTTCTCACTTTCCTTCTGTCTCTCTCTGGTAAGTGCATGTGCCCTATAGCCAATTAAATCATAAATATTGGGTTGTCAGGGAAGTCATAATGTATTTTTGCATAGAAAAATATGTTATGACTTTCCAGGCAATCTAATAAAATTAAGTAAATCATTATTTTTTCAAAAAAATAAAGAATATATGCAGCACTGCCAAATAAAAAATTTTACATTTTATTTTATTATGTGCAATTATTAATGTAGCATTGATTGTCTTCTTCTGTTTTCTATATATCAGTCGTTTAAAAGAAAACTTTAAAAAATATTTTAACTGAAAAAGAAATGGAAACAAAAAATAAAAAGACATGCTTTACGTTATAAAGTAAAATTAATGATAACAAAGGAATTAAAATTTGTATTCCCAGGGCTGGCAAGTGGCATGGTGGTGAAGTGTACTGGATTCCCAGATGGCTGACCACTGTTCAAGTCCTGGACCTGGAGGCCTGCTTTCTCACTTTCCCTCTCTCTCTCTTTCTCTCTCTCTGGCCCTCTCTGGTCAAATGAAAATAAATGAATAAACAAATAAAATTAAAAAAAAATTCTTTAAAAAAAAGTTGTATTACCTTGGGGCATGCTGCATGGTCTAGCAGTTAAGGGAGTTGGATCCATGGCTGTCTGTATGGTCTGAAGCTCGGCTCTACAGTTTGAAAAGCATGCTAGGTGTATGTGTGTATATGTCCCAAATCTTGACCAGATGGGGAAATGGAGGAGAAGGGATTTTGGTGTGCCCATCCCCAACTGCAGGGGTGCTTTCTTCTTTTCTCTCTCTCTGGTGAGTGAACATGTCCTCTGACCACCTCTCCCACCAAAAATTGTATTCTCAGGCTACTGTTTTTTCTTTGAAACATAAAAATAGGCCCAATGGTAAGATCAGCAGATGGCTAATGGTTAAGTTGTCGCTGGGCTACCATGTCGTTGCTGGGCTCCCACATAGTAAACCACGGTTGATGTCTCAACCTGGTAGCTTAAAATTCATGCTGTGCATATGTATGTGAGTGCCCAAGATTTCAAGAGAAGAATGGAGGAGAAGGGCTTGAAGTGTGGCTGCTCCCCGGGGGATTGATTTCTTACTTTCTGTCTCTCTAGTGAGCACAGGTGCTCTAGCAAAAATCTCTTTTTTTTTTTTTTTTTTATAAAAAAAGAAAAGGTCCAATGGCATTATTCTACTTTGAAGGGAAGTTGTGGGAACAAGTAAATCTAATGGTTAGTAAAAGTAATTTTGCAACGGTCATTCCACAGAACAATACTGTTATATAATTAATAGTCATTTTCTGCTTACACATTATCAACATGCTCTTTTAGATGCTTAAAAATAATATGTCACTCCTTGGAAACACCAATAACATTTATACACAGTTTTACAAAGAAAATTGAATACCTGTTTTAGTTTTTCATTCTCTTCCATGAATTTTTTGGCAGCCTTATTAGTACTTTCTGCATGAGATTTAAGTACTCCTTTGTTTGACAGTTCTTTTGCCAGCTGAGTAATAAGTGTAACCAGACGTCTCAACACTCTAAGAAAAAAAAAATCAGACTTATATATAACTAGACTAATCATCAGTAAGAGTGACTTTAAAACAATCATTGTCATATGACTCTCCCATTAGGTATAAGTGTGATGGTGTGATGGAAGGAGGTGATGTTTAAGTGGAACACATGATGTTAAAAAAAAAAAAAAAAAAAAAAGAAGAAATCCCAGACTCCTAGCCAAAACAATTCCTTAGGAATCTTTGCTAGAAAATCAGCATTTGGAACGCAAGGTTAGCTGTCCTTATTAATTGGATTATTTTTCTTGTAGAGGACTATAAGTGTAGAGGAATACAAACAAAAGAATTTCAAATAGCACAGCAGGACCAGTAAGAGAAGTCTTTTTTTTTTTTTGACCCAGTTCAAATTGTGCAACTTACAGAACATTACACAAGGCCAGCCAAGTCTAAAATCTGTACATACACATCTGCTTATGGGTAACTTCCACTGTTAGACATACTAATGAGTATTTCCAATGACTCATTCAGCAGATATTTATGAAGGACCTGCTAGGTGTTATGGGATGGGTTCTGTGATGATATCCAGGTTCTTGGAGTTTTGGACAAAGAACTGACCTAAACATGCAAATAGTGTAAGGAAAAGGTAGTTTCTTAGGTAAAAGTACACTCCTGAGTAGACAGAGAGAGGGTAGCTCAAAATGTTCCAGCAGTTGCATTCTGATGAGGTCTATAATTTTTAATCTAGATCATGTCAGTTGATCACTGGCTGGGCTCACTGATTCTTCTCAGCTCATAGGTTCTATTAAATATTGGTGGGACCACTGATTTCTCATTGGCTGTATCAAATGTGGCTTAATCAGACAGATACCCTCCCCCCACCCCCACCATCTCCTGCTTACATTATCTTGGGCAGAACATTTTCTGCCTGGTTGTTTTGTTTTGTTTTGTTTTTCCCTATCTAGCAACATGGGCGGATGCTCTAGTCCCTGTAGCTGCTTCCATTTGCTAGCTTTCTCCTGCCTCAGAAGTGTTAAAGGTACTAGACACTGAGGACACAGCAGGAAGTAAAACAGTCTCTACCCTCAAGGAGTTTAGCAAAGGTTTGGGGAGCAAAGCGTTAAATCAGTATTTACTTACAACCGTGAATAATTTTAGAAATTGAAGTAAATATATAAATTCTATACCAGCATGTATAACAGGAAACCTACTGACTTCAGAGGGAATGATGGCCATAGAAGGTAACCCTGATGAAGAGGCTAAAGAATGTTCTGGAAGAATAAGCCAGGTAACAAGGTAATGTTCTGGCAAAAGGAATAACTTATAGGAAGACCCTGAAGTGGAAAGAAACTAGGTATATATAGAACTCAAGTATTTGCTGCCAAGATGAATAAATAGTGAGGGTCAATGTGGGTGGAATGTATTACAAATGTCAGAGAATAGTATGAGACAAGGCTCCGGGCAGAGGCAGGAACCAAATCATTCAGGGCCTTATGGATCTAAGAAACATACAAGTTATAATTATTGTTATTTGGGTATATCACCTTAGTTCTTTTATGAAGATGTTGGTTTAAAAAATCCATGATATAAGCGGAAAAAATTAGGAGAAACATAAACCATGTTTTAAAATTGTGCTTAATCTTTACACTTACAGCCAAAAAAATAATGAAAATCCAGAAATGTACAGATTTCTTTGAGATCTAAAAAGTTTCATCTGCGTATGTTCATAGGCACTAGGTTTGCTGGTTGAGCTCTTCTCAATGGTATGAGTAGAGGAGTATTTCCTTACTTCTCTCACAGCATCTATTATGGAAAAAAAAGAAAACATTACTTCTGGTTTTTAAGAATGTAGAATGATTAAAAATGGGAAGCAGTTTTAGAATAACTGACCAAACTTTAAAAGTTTATTTATATGAGAGAGAAAGCGGGAGAGGGGGAAAAAATTGATTCTTCATAGGGTCTCACTAAGTGGAGATCCCACCTACTCGCACTGCCGCCCAGCCTCCCAGCTAGCTAGGACAGGTACATGCTACTGCACCTGGCTGATTTGGTTGTGTAGAGAACTGAACCTGGGCCTTCTATGTGGCATTGGCTTTTCAGTAGTGGTGTCTTAGCAGTGTGCACCACCACAACAGAGCCCAAACTTTCTCACAGTGGGCTTTAGGTAGAGGCTTTGCTTTTGTCTTTCCCTCTACAGCATCTGGGAGGGAAGCATGCTCAAAGTGGATGGACTGTAAATGAATACTAGTTTAAAATTTTGAATGATAATAGCGGGTTTTTTTTTTTCATTTTTTTTTTCTTATTTTATTAAATAGCTTTTTGCCATAGGGAACATGTGCTGGCTGGAGACAGACAAAGATGGTGAGAAATCCCCCCCACCCCATGGCCACACCATAATCCCTTCTCCTCCATTCTCTTCTCAGGATTGTGGGCATGCACACATCTAAGCCTGATGTGGTTTTCAAGCACCTAGGTCTAGGACTCAAACTGTGGTTAACCATGTGATAGTCCAGCACCTTACCTACAATCCCACTGCCAGAATTTGCTTTTCTTTCCATTCACCTAGGACCTACCATCATTGATTATATTATCTCTCATCTCTAGCTACATTGCCAACTACTCAATATTATTATTTACATTTTTTAAAAAAGTTTTCTAGGGACCAGCAGTTAGCGTAATGGCTATGTCGCTGGACTCCCACATAGTCGACCGCGGTTCGCGTCCCAGACCCGGTGGCTTAAAACTCACGCCGGGTGCATGTGCGTGCGTGCCCAAGATCCCGAGAGGAGAATGGAGGAGAAGGGACTGCGGTGTGGCCATCCCCCCTGGGGGTGATTTCTCACTTTCTGTCTCTCTGTCTCTCTCTGTCTCTCTCTCTCTGTCTGGCGAGCACACACCCCCTATAGCAAAAACCTCTCCAAAAAAAAATGTTTTCTATACGACATGTGCACTGGTTGTGGGGGGATGGTCACACCACAATCCCTTCTCCATTCTCCTTTCAAGATTTTGGACACACATGTATCCGGTGTGATTTTCAAGCCACCCAATTTGGGACTTGAACCACTCAGTTGGCCATGTGGGATCCTGTTGCCTTAATCTCTATGCCACTGCTGGCCTCCTTTACTTTTTCTAGTCCTAAGAATAATTAAAATTCAACCTACTGACAATAACAGATCCCATAGCCCATTACAACCAATTCCATGAGACTATTATATATATGTTTTTTTTAAATTGCCAGAGAGTGTATATGTGTGTGTGTGTGTGTGTGTGTGTGTGAGAGAGAGAGAGAGAGAGAGAGAGAGAAAGAAAACAGTCCCCAGTGAGGTATGGTCATGCCCACAATCCCTACTCTATTTCTCCATCTCATTGGGATTTTGGGTGTGTGTGCACCTGTATACAGCATATTTTTCATGCCTCCCAGCCTTCAGACCACAGATCTTTAACCACTACAGTATTAGTTTTAATGGTTAACCATGAGGTTGGCCAAAGATTATCCTATTTCTTACTATACTAGCATTTTATTATATCTATAATTATTTGTTTAATCCATGAGGGAGTGAGATAGAAAAAAAAAAAAGAAGAAGAAGAAAGAAAGCATCCCCTGTCCCCAGTGGGGCCTGGTCACATCACAATCTTTTTTCCTCTACTTATCCTGGGTATGCACAAACACCCAGCATATTTTTACAAACCATTAGAACTAGAACTCATACCCTGCAAGGCCATACAGCATCTGGCTTCCTCCACACAGTGTTTAACTGCTATGCTGAGGAGCTGGTCCTATTGTCAACTTTTTAAGGATGTGTCAAATTGGTTTCCAAAGCAGCTGTGCCATTTTATATTCCCATGAGCAGTGTACAAGGGTTCCAGTTTCTCCACACCATCAGCACAGTTGTTATTACCAGTCTTTTTGATTATAGCCATCCTGGTAGGTGTGAAGTCGAATTTCACTGTGGTTTTGAGTTGTATTTCCACAACAGCTAATGATACAGAAAATATTTTCATGGGCTTATTGACCAGATGTGTATCATCTTTGAAAAAATATCTATTAGGATTTTTTACATATTGGGCTATTTGTCTTTTTATTTGTCCTCAATGTGACTTTTTTTAAAAGAATTATTTAATTTTATCATTATTATTATTTTTAAAATTTGATATAGGGCTCTTGTGCTCACCAGAGAGAGAGAGAAAGGGAAAGTGAGAAAGCAAGCCACCAGGTTCAGGAATCAAACCACAGTCGGTCATGTGGAAGTCCACTGCCTTAACCGCCATGATACCTACTGGACCCATCCCCCAAATGTCTTCTATACTTTTTCTTTCAAACTGGAAATTATGTAATAGACATTCTTTATAAATATCATAGTTACATTTCTGTAGCCTCTTGATATCCTTAAAAAAAAAAAAAAGACATTGAAGATCCAGGTCAACTGTTTTATAGAAAGTTCTTTTTGTTTTGTCTGATGGTGGTATAGTCTGATTTGTTTCTCAAATTCCTAGTTTTAGAAAACTAGAAGTAGGTCCCAGCAGGAAGTATAAAGACTTGACTATATCAATCTTAATACTTTCAGCAAAAATCCTTCATAGTTTAGGCTGCATAATGTTTGCTTGTCGGGACCAGCAGTTAGCATAATGGCTATGTCCCTGAACTCCCATGTAGCCGACTGCGGTTCAAATCCCAGAGCTTAAACTCATGCCAGGTGCATGTATGTGCGTGCCCAAGATCCCGAGAGGAGAATGGAGGAGAAGGGATTGCGACCTGGCCATCCTCCCTGGGGGGTGATTTCTTGCTTTCTATCTCTCTCTCTCTGTCTTTCTGGTGAGCGTACATGCCCTATAACAAAAACCTCTCAAAAACATTTAAAAAAAAAGTTTGCTTGTCTCATAGTAAATGCTGCCTCATGCTTGATGCTAAAACTTTTTTTAAAAGAGATTTTTGAGTGCACTTGCTGGAGACACAGAGACAAAGAGACAGAAAGTTAGAAATCACCCCCCCCCAGGGAGATGACCACGCTGCATGTCCCTTCTCCTTCATTCTCTTCTTGGGATTTTGGGCATGCAAGCGCATATGCCCAGTATCAATTTCAAGTTTCCAAATTCAGGATTTGAATCGCAGTCAACTACCTGGGAGTCCAGCAACGTAATCATTATGCCATCTGCTGGTTCCTTGATGCTAAATTTGATTACTCAGTTAAGATGATGTATTAACCAGGGTTCCTCAGAGAAAGAGAACCAATATATAGAGAGATTTATCTTAAGGAAGTGGCTTCTGTGATTTGGACTATGCAGTAGACCGAAACTATAGGATAGACCAGCAGGCTAAAGATCCAGGGAAGAATTACAATTGAAGTCTTTCAAAGGCCATCTGTTGGGCTGGCTCCACGGCCTAATCGTTAAGGGAGCTAGATCCCACACAGCTGACCACACAGTTTGAATCCAAACACTGGTGGCTTGGAAAACACAACGGTACGGGCAGGTGACATGATGGTTAAGCACTGGACTCCCATATTGCCAACTGAGGTTTGAGTCCTGGACTTGTGGCTTGTTCTTTCTATCTCCAGTCAAATTAAAAAATAATAATGAATGGAATTAATTAACTAAATAATTCTCTAAAAAAAAGAAAAGCACACTGGGCATGTGTGTGTATGTGTCCCAAATCACCATAGCACTGAGAAAGGGAGAATGGATTGCAGTGTGACCACACACCATGGTGGGGGGGTGGTTTCTCCTTCCTGAAGGGAGCCCACTTGCTCTCTGGCAAATTGAAAAATAAAAACAGTGGCCATCCCTCCTGGGTGGCCACTTTTTTCTCTCTGTCGCTATTTTTCTCTGGCTAGCACATGTACTCTATAGTGAAAACCAAATAATAATAATAATAATAAAACACACAAAAAAATCCAAAAAATCAAAAGGCAATCTGCTAACAATTTCCTCTTTCTCAGTCTTTGTTCTAATAAGGTGTTCAACAGATCAGATAAGGTCTACCCACATTATCCATGGTATAATTTGCTTTACTTAAATTCTTTTTTAATGTTAATCTTATCCAAAATCACCTAAACAGAAATATCCAGAACTTTGACCTAGTGTCAGCAATACCATGGCACAGTTCAGTTGACATACTAAAATTAATCATCACAGACAGTGGTCATCAGAGTTCTTCACTGTAAAGGTTTTGTGTTTGCCTTTGCAGTTAGCAAGTAATTTTTTTTTCCCTTTAATCTTGAAATCTCTTGTGAGTCTCCCAATTTTGTTGTTCTTTTTAATTTTTTTTTTTTTTTGGCTGTTAAAGAATTCTTTGCTAGCCCACTTAAAATTTTAAAAGCAATTGGTCGAGTACAAAACACTTGTTGGAATTTTGGCTGAGACTATGTTGAATCTACAGATCAATTTTTGGAAGAACAAACATTTTAATAATATTGGATCTTCTAACAGATGAAAATATCTTCATTTATTTTATCTTAACTTCTTTCAGCAATGTTTTTGTAGTTTTCAGAGTAGAGTTCTTTACACATCCTTCATAAAAAGTTTGTTTCTAAGTTTTTTAGGTTTCTTGGTGTATTTATAAAAGAAATCCTTCAAAATTAAATTTTCTAGTCTGGCTCTTTAGTGTAGTGGTTAAGTGCTGTGCAGAGGAAGCTGGATCCTATATGGCTGATCATAGTTCAAGTCCCAGCCCTGGTGGTTTGAAAACATACCACATGCATGTGTGTATGCCCAGAATCTTGACAGGATGGAGAAATGGAGGAAAACAGATTGTGACAAGACCATGCACCATAAAGGAGTACTTTTTCTTTCTATACTGTGTGCATACGTGCCCTCTGGCACACAAAACAGAAAAATGGAATGGGGTTAACAATGAGGGAGGGTTATGATAGATAGGGCATTTTCCATAAACTATGTGAAGATAGTCTTTTTTTGAATCACATGAGGAAACTGACACTAACCATATTCTTGGGTTACCTATTTCCGATTGTCTGTTACTGTTCCCTAAAACACATAATCACACACACATGTTTTTCAGTTAGTATTGTTTCTAGGAAAGTAAACACCTTGTGAGTTACCTTATTAGACAACCAACAGAAAAATAAAATAAGCTCTAAACTAAAATATAAAATAAGCTTATGTATTTTATATCACTTAAACTTTAAAACACTGCATGAAGTGGGTATGATTGCTCCATTTTGAGGTGCAGACACTGAGACTAACAGGGCAAGTACCTATTTTCCTGCCTTAACTACCCAGGATGTCTTTATTCTTAGGGAATTATTCACTCTGCCCGCTAGTCATGTTTTTTTTTTTTTTCCTTTTAATTGGAATTAGTCTTCCAATATGGCTAATTAAGCCTCACACATGGCTGAAGTGATAGTACCTGGCAGCTGTGTGGTACCCGTTTTCTTCCTTGGAGATAGAGTATCAGGGTGCATGGGGACAAGGAAGAATGAAATACATGCAGGAAGAAATGGAGGGACAAGAATATTTTATGCCTAGTATTGCTCCCTCTGGAATTTGGCTTCTCTCCTTCCATAGGCTACTCTGAAAGAACCCCATGTTTTATTATAAATCTCTTTTTCTTCCACAAATGAACTTAAGTTGGTCTCTGATAATATGTAATCAAAAAAAACCTGGACTATAACTCTCCTCCATTCTATGGAAAAGTGGGAGTTTCCAATATAAATTTTTTTCATAATTCTAGAGTTCTAGAGTTGGAAGATCAGAATATTTTTCTAGCAGTAATACGAGCTGCAGAGATTATTTCTATCTGTCCCTTTATTTCACAGATGAATTGATCAAACTCAGAGGTATAAAATGACATTCCAAAGGTAACTTAGCTACCTGGTGGCAGAGTTGGGACCTGTTTTCCTTACTGATTTTTACTCACTTATTGTGATTTGTTATATGCCTAGAGATTAAATTCGTAACAGTAAGTATCACAAAAAAAATATATATATATGATGTATATATACTGACTTTTTTTTTTTTGAGAGTTTTTTTCGCTATAGGGTGCATGCGCTCGCCAGACAGAGAGAGACAGAGAGACAGAAAACGAGAAATCACCCCCCAGGGGGGATGGTCACGCCACAATCCCTTCTCCTCCATTCTCTTCTCGGGATCTTGGGCATGCACGCACACACGCCCGGCGTGAGTTTTAAGCCACCGCGTCCGGGACGCGAACCGTGGTCGACTACGTGGGAGTCCAGCGACATAGCCATTACGCTAACTTGTGGTTCCTTATACTGACATTTTGAAGTAAGGTACAAACCTACTGACCCTCTGAAACAATTGCATGCCGGTAGTTCACAGTACTCATACACTATCACACTAGATGGTTCAGTTTATAAAGAGGAGTCTATTTCAGAAGTTGGTGATTTGGACTGTGAAACAGCATTTTCTCAAAAAACTATCAAACTGGTCGTCATAGCCTCAGACTGGCTCCTATAAAACCATTTTAAGTCACAATGACTGTGAGAGAATTCTGAGGGAAAACATACTCTGTAATGGATATCAAAATCTGAAGTACCAAGCTCCTCCTGCCTCAGCCTCTCCGCTGGGACTACAGACACATGCCACCCATGCCACCTTTAGGTTGGACTGGGAACTGAACCCAGGCTTCCCATGTGGTCCCAACCAGCAGAGCGCAGCATCCTAGTAGCAGGTGCCACAGCAGCTTGGCCTTACCAACGCCTTTTATGTAGGAATAGATCCTTAGTCTTAAGATATGCATACTAAAGTACCTAGAAGTAGTCATAATTTTTTCAACAAACTTTCAAATGGTTTTTTAAAAAGATAGATAAAGCAAGTTTCACAAACCATTAACATTTGCTGAATCTAGGAGGTGGGATTATAGATGTTTATTGAGTCAGCCTCAGAGTACAGTACGTAAGTTCTGTGCATTGGGAGCTGTATCCCACATGGTTGACGACGATTTGAATCCTGGCCTCTGCAGACTAAAAAACACACAGGGCATGTGTGTCCAGAATCCTGATGTAAGGGAGAAATGGAGGAAGAATGCTTGTAGCATGACCATACCTCATTCGGGGGTGTTTTCTCTCTGTCTCTATCCAGCATGTACACCCTTTGGCAATAAAGCAAAACAAAACAAAACAAAAAGCAGCAGGTGATTTAAATCAGCCCCTTAATATGTTTTAGCTCAGCTACTTCTAAATACACATTGTGATTATTAAGACTCACTGACTTTCTGATTTGATAAGAAGCTTTAAGGTCTACTACAATTTTTTTTTTTTTAAGAATTATTTTTTATTAGGGTCAGCAGGTGCCATGGTGGTTAAAGGCGCTAGACTCCCACATGATGGAGCATGGTTCAAGTCCTAGACCTGGCGGCTTGCTTTCTAACTTTCCCTCTTTCTCTTGTGCACTCTCTCTCTCTGTCCCTCTTTAGTCAAATTAAGATAAATAATAAATAAATAAAGATTAAAAAAACACTATTTTTTATTTAACTTTATTTGTTTATTTATTTATTTTAATTTGACCAGAGAAGGACAGAGGGAGAGGGAGAGAGACAAAGAGAAAGTGAGAAAGCAAGCTACCAGGTCTGGGGCTTGAACCACAGTCAGCCATGTGGGAGTCTAGTGCCCTTAATCACCACACACCTGCTAGCCCCAGGTCTACTATAAATTTATAAGATATTTTGACAAAAACTTCAAATGTGTTGAAAAACTAGTACAATAAACGTCTACTATCCTCCACATAGATTTCACAAATGTTACCTGTTTGTTAAAAAAATGATAGTAAGTTAAAAAAAGATTCTGTTTAGAGAGAGATTTATGCTATAGAGAATGTGTGCTTGCTGGAGAGACAGAGATACGGAAAGCAAGAAACCACTCCCAAGAGGGGATGGTCATGCTGCAATCCCTTCTCCATTCTCTTCTTGGGATTTTGGGCACACATGTACACATGCCTGGCATGAGTTTTAAGCCACCAGGTCCGTGATTCAAACTGTGGTCAACTATGTCGGAGTCCAGCAACATAACAATTATGCCATCTGCTGGTCCTGAAAACATGATGACTCTTTACTCCTAAATATTCCAGCATGGATATCCTAAGACTAAGGATATAATCCTACATAAAAGGCTCAGTTGTGTGACACGTACTGCTAAGATGTTGTACTCTGCAGCCTTTGACTACATGGGAAGCCTGGATTCAATTCCCAGTTCAACATGTGCCTGTAATCCCAGCTGGGAGGCAGAGGCAGGAGGATGTCAACACAAAGAGATCCTGTCTTAGGAAAAAAAAAAAAAAAGTTGTAGACTTTTTCTGTAAAGGGGCAGATTATAAATGTTTTAGACAATACTGTTGCAATTACTCAGCTCAATAGTTGTCTGTGGTGGGACCAGCAGATTGCATAATCGTTATGTCACTGGACCTCCATGTAGTCGACTATGGTTTAAGTCCTGGACCTGGTGGCTTAAAACTCATGCCAAGCTATGTGTGTGCACCAAAAATCCCTAGAGGAGAATGGAGGAGAAGGGATTGTGGCATGGCCATCATCCCTGGGTGGTGATTTCTGGTTTTCTGTCTCTCTGTTTGTCTCTCTGGTGAGTACACACACCTATAGCAAAAATCTCTCTTCAAAAAAAAAAGTTGTCTGTGGACAGAGACATAGATAATAAACAAAAAAAAGGGCAAACTTAAGTTGCAATAAAACTTTATAGGTTGCTTATCCCTGGTATATATCAATGTGGTTATCACAACTAATGTTGAGAAATGAGAAATAACATCTGGCAACTGAAAAGCTGCCTACGCACTAATGCAATTATACATAATCTAATGAGGTGAAGAATCACTGCACTATGCTGAAATTTATGCCTGTGCACATATTAGAATAATATCTATTAATTGTACACAATATATCAATATCTACTCTATATACTATATAAACTCAGCTGCAATATATCAATAGCAACATCAATAGATCAACATACATTTAATTAAAAATGAAGGACTTTATTAATCAAAAACAAACTAGTTATGTTTATTCAAAGGAGGGGTCTAGTACTTACCTAGAAACAGGACAATCAACAGGACTATAATAGTAAGGAAAGCCTTGTTCCAAAAAGTTGCAATTTTACCCCAGACACTAAATGAAAAAATCTTCTGCCATCTGTAAAGTAATATAATTACATGAAGTAATAATAAAAAAGGTGTTAAAATACTTTATAAATACTAAAGTAACATTTTGGTCATATGTAGAAAGTTAAAAAGAATTACAGACATTTTATTTTTAAATTTACTAACTCTCTGATATGACATAAAATGTCTCTGAAATAAAGAACAATTTTTTCAAATTTAATAATAACCTGACATTTGATTATCTTCTGTCTGGTGGCTTAAATTTTCTAAAGTGAAAATAAATTTCAAAATAAATCCATATGAATAATAGAAATTAAAAATGAGTTGCATTTTTTTTCTCATAGGGTACATGTGCTCACTGGAGAGAGAAAAAGAAAGGGAAAATGAGAAATCAACTCCCAGGAGGGATGACCATGTGCAATCCCTTTTTCTTTATTCTGCTGTTGGTATAAGCCATCGGGTCTGGGACTCAAACTGTGGTCAATCATGTGGGAGTCCAGAGCCTTAACCATGAGGCCTGCTGTAGACACCTAGAAGGTAATTCTTATACTAAAGGGTTATATTGTTGATAGAAGCTATTACTTTATATATATTTTCTCTAGTCAGACTCAAAAATGAAAAAGATTTATTGGTCTAACAGTTATCATTTCAGAAATGGGGGGGGTCTAACTGTCTGCACATTTATTTTTAATTTAAATTTTATTATTATTATTTTAATTTGATAAGAGAGAGGGAAAGTGAGAAAGCAAGCCACCAAATCCAGGATTTGAACTGCAGTTGGCCATGTGGGAGTCTAGCACCTTAATCACTGTGCTACTTGCTGGCCACTGCACATTTACTTTTATACAGTATACTTTTAATATCTACTCCAAGTAAAAAGTTTCTCTACTTCAACCAAGAGAGAATTAAAATTATTGAGATTTTATATATGTAAAGTGAAAAAATTTTGAATGTATAGTTTGATAATTTTTTTAAGAATTATTTTATTTAACTTTATTTATTATTATTATCATTATCATTTTCCAAATTGATCAGAGCAAGACAGAGAGAGAGGAAGTGAGAAAGCAAGCCACCAGGTCCGAGACTTGAACCGTGGTCGGCCATGTGGGGGTCCAGCACCTTTAACCACCATGCCACTTGTCGGCCCCTAGTTTGATAAATTTTTACATGTGTATATACCCACATAATTACTACCCAGAGAAGCTCTAAACGTTGATGAAATGAGACCAGGAAATAAATAGTCTAGACAGACTGAACAATATAAGCAAAGATATAAGAATAAAAAAAATGTGGGTTATAAGTTGCAAAGAGTGACAAAGTAAATTATCACAGAATTGGAAATGTAGCAAACTTTGTATGAGACCATTTTAAATGAATAACAGATTAAGCCCCCAAGGGACATCGAGAAAAAAAGAAAAAAACTAATGGAAAAAGATGGCGTTAAAGTAAGGTTAATTTTGGTGCAAAACAATTTGAATCTATGCATAGCTTTCTTTAAAAAATAATTATTTATTTTATTTTTATTCATTCATTCATTGATTTTTTAATTTGATCAGAGAGAGCCAGAGGGTAAGAGTGAGAGAGAGAGGAAGTGAGAAAGCAAGCCACCAGGTCTAGGACTCAAACCCCAGTTGGCCATGTGGGAGTGTCCAGTGCCTTAACCACTGCGCCACCAGCTGGTCCCCATAGCTTTTTCATTATATGCAGTTCCATGAACTTTTTGAAGACCTCCTCCCAGTATAAATTGGGTAATACATACTTAAATATACCTCAAGCACTTGCAACATTTAAAAAAGTTTTGAGATTATGACAGCTAAGTAGTAAAATTTGAAAACTCTAATGCCTCTACAGATGCAGTTCTATTTGTCTTCATTGTTTCCAATTCTAAGCACTTTATATAGGCACTATATAGAAATTCTACATTATAAAAATTTTACACTAAAAAAACTTTTTAAGTTAATTTTTCCATAAAGCTAAATGAAGACTGAAACTTTCCTTTAAAGATTTCAGTGATACACATAGAAAGATGTGAATGCATACATGGTAAGAACATATTGTAAATTATTTGAGTGCATATATATCACGTTCTCTTACCTATACAGTCATGCCATGCTTAATGACACAGCTATGTTCTATGAAATGCACTGTTAAACAATTCTGTTGTCATGGGGCCATCACAGGGTAAACTTACACAAACATAGATGATATAGACTACTACAAATTTATGCTGTATGGGGTATTCCTATGGAAACACTGTATCTATCTGGTCTACTGCTGATTGAACCATCATTATGTAGTATATAACCATTTTTTGTATGAGGATATATCATGTGCACAAATACATGTATTTATCTAACAGCTACTTGATAAGGATGGGTAAAAAATATTTGGCAGGAAGTAAAAGGCTGACCCATAATTTATATTACTTTGACAGGAAAAAGAAAAACCAACTGATGAATTATTTTCTTCAGATCTTTAAGCATTATTTATAAATCAGATGTTTACAAACAACATGCTTCTTTCTCTTACTTATTCATGATCCTATTTTGCAAATATCACCCCAAATCAAAACAAGGAACTATTGAAGGTTTGAAACAAAACCAACAGGATGAGAGGCACCCTGACAGAGTAGGAAGAGCAATGGACTAGAGGCCAGATGCTTGTTTGGAATCTGCCATGGAGCAGCTAGGTGACATTCTTCAAACCACTTGTCCCCTCTGGGTCTCAGCAGCGATCTGAAGAAGAGTGGGTTGGATGAAACAATCTCCAAGACCTCTTCCTACACAATGTTTCTTATTTAGTAAGGAAGAGAAATGTGATGGTGTAGTTGATACACAAGAACAGAAAGGAACTCAAATCCAGGAGGTGAGGAGCATTTTAAGAGTTGTGAAAGACTGCCTGAACATTGAGCTAAGGTAAAACTTTCCTAAGTTTCTTCCAGACCCAGGATTTCACCATATACCGTAGTGGGTTAGTTCCAGGCTATCATTTATGAAAGATTTTCTTTTATGGTATAAGTATGAACAAATGTCTTGCAATGTTTTTATTCCATGCATGTTTCAGCATTCACCCTATCGTTTCTGGGTCTAATAAGGAGATTATTACAAGGGTAAAGTGAATCAATGCTTGGATTGAAATACTTGGTAGCTACTTGTTAGAAGGTCCTTCCCTAAGGAATTTCATGCTAATGTAGGGTTCTGATACTTTTCATATTCAACAGTTTTAAAATAGTTCATTAATTGTATGTGGAATAGAAAGTACTAAAATTGTCATTAAACATTAATGAAAGTATTTCATGGTTATATAAGGCCAAAACTAAGAGTCTTTCATTGGTTTTTGGTTTCCAAATTGCCATTCCACTGGCCCAAACATCTGTGTTCCCATGATATACTGTATTCAATGTATACTTATTGTCTTACTAAAAATAACTTATTCATTTATGTTTATTTAGTCCACGACTCCAATTAAGGGCAATAGAACAGAGGGTAAAACCTGATGATGCAACCAGACAGGTGTCAAAGGGCAGCCATTGCTTCAGTTTATCTGTGATCAACAGACCCGAAAGCACTAGGCCCTTTTGCCTTTTAGAAGGGAAGTCAGAGTTATTGCATGTATACACATAAAAAGTTTATTTTTACTATTGGCATTTATACGAGAGTTTATTTTTAAAGAACATCTTTTTCTACCATTAGTTCTCAAAACTTTTCATCTTAAGAAAACTTTTCCCGTATTAATCTCAAGGCACTACCCAAGAAGTGATTCCTGTTAAGGATGTGAAGGGTCCCTACCTCTGAGGAGGAATGAAAGGCAGGCAGAAGATTAAAATGAGTCCTATTTCGGCATAAAGAAAGGTTGCAACTGCCGCCCACTGGAGGGTCATTGTTTTCTCTTCGCACCTAAACAGAGAAACGATTTACTTTGCGTGCTTTCCGAGCGAGGTGGGTCAAATGTTGTCCCGGGGTTACCATGTCCCACCTTCCCCAGGCTGGAGCACCCCGCTTTAACCCCGAGCGGGAAGGGAAGGCGTACAGGCTGGGCCGCGAGGCGGGTGCCTGCTCCCCGGCGGGCGTGCGGGACGGGGCCGCGGCCTGTGGGGCACCGGCTTCCCTCTACGGCTCGCGGCGCCGGCAGCCTAACGCCTCCCTCCCCTAACGCCCGCGCTTCGCGGCCCT